TTTTTAGACGGAGTCTCACTGTTACCCAGGCTGCACTGCAGTGGTGCGATCTCGGCTCACTGCAACCTCCGCCTCCTGGGTTCAAGCGCTTCTCTTGCCTCAGCCTCCCAAGTCCTGGGACTACAGGCACGTGCCACCATGCCTAATTTTTGTATTTTTAGTAGAGACGGGGTTTCACCATGTTGGCCAGGATGGTCTCCATCTCCTGACCTCGTGGTTCGCGGACCTCGGCCTCCCAAAGTGCTGGGATTACAGGCGTGAGCCACCATGCTCAGCCAAGAGAGGCTCTGCTCTTAATTAACCTTTTAGTCTTTTTTTTTTCAGTGCTATTAGACAAACACCTCCATGTTATCTCTAGGTCGAGCAGCAACGAAACGATGCCCAGCAGCAACTTTCCGAAGAACAGAATGCCAGAATATTACAAGATCAGATTCTGACCAGTAAACAAAAGGAGCCAGAAATGGCTCAAAAGAAAATGGATTCTGAGGTATTTTCTTGGCCATTTTCAAATATGTTTTAGTATGTGAATATATTTTTTAAAAAAAACTCTATGCAACTTGGAATTCTAATGGATTTTTGAAACACACACACACACACACACACACACACACACACATTTTGGGGTGGTGACAGTGGTTCTGGAATTTTTGGCCCATCGTATAACGTCATTTTCTTAACTCAACTTCATTTTTCTGCAAGGGTCAAGTAGTGACTTTCACAGTGGCCTTATCCAAAGGAAAAACATTTGTTATTCATAGGAATTAATGATCTTTCCACAATCTCAAAACCCTTGCTAACAACAGACATTCCAGCTTTCAGACATGATTTCACCTTTCTAATATATTAATGGAGAGGTTAGATTATTATTTCTACTGGTAGTAAGGATGAAATGTATAGCCAGTTCGGAGGCCATACTTCAGCTGCCATACCCCTTACTTTTGGGGGCATAACAGTTTACTCCAAGTAGCATCTCATTTCAGCACAAAGAGCTTTGAAAACAATGATATGCCATAAGAGAAACTTAGTGATGATTTGTTGATAACTGTTTTGTTCTTAGAAAAGTACTTCAGTGTATTTTCCCGTTTCATGCTTATTTCTGTTTCAAACACTGTAAAGAGGAAACAGAAGCTACTACAATAGCAGATAATCTCATGATTTTCAGAGAAAAGCTCTATAACTTCTTTTTTACCACTGGTGTTTTGAAATAAAAAGCTTCTTTTGTATTTACATATTTACAACACAGAAGTAACCATGATTTGGTGGACGAGCACTAGAAGTAAAGTAAGAGGACCTGGGGAAAATCCTGCAGCTTGCATATTTTTGACCTCTCCTTTCAGAATTATGACATAAATGAGCTCAGTGATGTATGTGGAAGTGCTTGGTACAAGGCCAGGTGCAGTGGCTCACGCCTGTAATCCCATCGCTTTGGGAGGCCGAGGTGGGTGGGTCACTTGAGCCTAGCAGCTCCAGAACAGCCTGGGCAACATGGCAAAACCCTATCTCTACAAAAATTACAAATAAATTTAGCTGGGTGTGGGGATGTGCGCCTCTAGTTTCATCTACTCAGGAGGCTGAAGTGGGAGGATCACCTGAGCCCAGGAGGCCAAGCCTGCAGTGAGATTTGATTGTGCCACTGCCCTCTAACCTGAGTGATGGAGTGAGACCCTGTCTCAAAAAAAAAAAAAAAAGCAACTAATATAATGCTTAGATTTAGCATTTGTGAATAAATGTAATTCTTATATAACTGACAATAAAAATGGTAGAAAAATAAAATAGCTACAGACTATTCTCAGGAAAAAAAAGAACTTAAGGAACATTGGGAAATTTCCTCCGTCTGTTGTGGAAATTCAAGCCGAGAGGAAGAGAGAGACGAAGAGACACAAGAGAACCTCTTTATTGGAGCTCCAGCTGACAGTGGCCTTACTGCCTGTAATGGCTGCCAGCCCCGCACAAAGGAAAATTCCTTGCTTGTGTTAGTTTTGGCATGGGAAGATAAGGCAGGAGAAAAAGTGGTTTAAACAGAGTTAGTCATTGACTTGTGACAAGTTTACAACCTTGAGAATATGTATATTTTCTATGTGGTTATCTTGTTCCCATGGCTGGCTCACTCCCGCGGCTGGTAGCTGTGGAAGAGAACAGGTTTTTTGTTTTTTGTTTTGCAGAAATATGCTTGTGAGCTGTGGGTGCACAGATATGCTCGGGTGCTTTATCTTGGAAGGAGGAGGCTATGCTGGGGTCTCCTTTAGCTAACTTCAGGCAATTTAGGCTGGGAGGGGTGGTTTACTTGCTCCTCTGCTCTTTATAACTATTTTTGTGGCCTAGTCTTAAGCTTATTATTTATTTTAAATTAATGTCTTTTTATACATTTCACTTTTCCTCCTCATGTCCAGATACATGCAAAGCTATAGCTTTTACTATGGGGTGGTGTATACGTTAGATGTCAGAGTGTAAAGCCAATTTTTTTTTTTTTTT